AGATCTAACATTTTCAATATTTAATATGAAGGACTTGGTCGAGCAGCCAAATGCGATATTAGAAAAAATGAAGGATGGCACATACGTTGTAAATTATTCTTTGATGAACTTACCTCAATATATTCCTCCAAGTGGTGCACTTATGGGTGAATCTAATGTCGAAGATTATTTCCGGGACAGTGCTATGCCGTTCCCTGCTTCACCGGAAGTATTTGAATTAATTGGGGGAAATGCGGATACTGAAGGTAGCAAACGGATGTGGAATAAGATGTTATTAGAGCATTCAGATGATTTTATTCACGTTTTATCATTAAAAGGCATATTTCTTTATTGTTCGCCGAGTTGTAGGAGAATATTAGAGTATGATACAAATGATCTGTTGGGTAGTAGTCTTTCAACAATATGCCATCCAAGTGATATTGTACCAGTTATGAGAGAATTGAAGGAATCTTCAAATGGTGCAGAGTCAGTAAATCTTGTTTACCGTATTAGACGTAAAAATTCAGGATATATGTGGTTTGAAGCACATGGAAAATTACATTTAGAACAAGGAAAAGGAAGGAAATGTGTGATACTTTCAGCTCGTGAAAGGTCGGTTTATAAACTACAGTGGAAAGATTTACAAACATTTGGGGGGATATCGGATCAAGAATTTTGGGCAAAATTATCCGTGGATGGATTGTTTTTATATGCATCTTCAACATGCCAATGTTTATTAAATTTTACATCAGAAGAATTAGTTGGGACTTCATTATATCATTATGTTAGATCTGATCGTACAACTGATATAACAAGAAGTTTAACAGCTGCAAGAGATGGAAATGCTCATAGCTTTAAACATCACATCCAAAAAAAGAATGGTCAATACGTTGAAGTTCTAACAACATTTTATCCGGGAGATTCTATTAATACAAATAATAAACCATCATTTGTTATTTGTCAAACAAAGGAAGTTGCACCTGAAATTAGACGTCGTTCTATTTCAGTATCACCCGCTCAGTCTTCACCTACATCGGCAGGTTCTCCCGATGGGGCTTCCTCAATTTCCTCTGGAGGTTCTACACCATCTCCATCTATACATTTAAGAAATGCATCAATCGAACACCAACCTACTGATAATATCTTCGAAGAATTAGATACGACCAGAAGTACAAGTTGGCAATATGAATTACATCAAATGAGACTAACGAATAAAAGATTACGTGAAGAATTAGAAACTATTAAACACTCAAAGAAGAAAAGGGTGATGTACCACTCATTTGGTTAAATGATGCTTTTTCCTTAATAAAAAAAAATGATGTATTAACTTGATCTACTATTATCATTTTCATTTTAATAGAAGAAGCGAAGTGCATCTTCTTCAAACAAGGTATGTCATCATTGTCAACGAAAAGACTCGCCCGAATGGCGGAAAGGGCCCGATGGTCCGAAAACTTTATGCAACGCTTGTGGTTTACGTACGTAAATTTGTAATCATATATCATCACTCTTAAATTTTCGGAGTGGTTAGGAAAATAGTTAAGCAGGTGCAAGGAAATATATAAGGAAATGATAAACGATGTAATTGGCATCTGCATGAATATTATTTGGGAATGCATTCTAAATATATAGTACTCAATGAATTTTTGAATAGGTATGCTAACCTTACAATACGCGACATTTTCTTTTTTTTCTCGAATAGGTTATGCAAAACAAATGAATGCACAATTTAATGGTCCACGATCACCATCTGCTTCACCGAAAATAAAACCTAGCGTGGTATAAAAATTATAAAAATTACGTTTTTAAAAAAAAGAAGCGTTTGAATTATGTATAAAACTTAACTATTTTATTGGTATCTTTATAAAGTTATCCTTTGCAAACGTCTTTTTTTCTTGAAAATTTTTGTATAATAATCAATACCACGCTATCTGGCATAGTCTTATTTTTTTTTTCTTTGTATTATACGTTTTATTTTGATTATTTTTTTTTTTTTTTTTTTTTTCATATTTTATTTGTGAAAGACTTATGACATCTATAAACCCCCCTTTTTTTTTTGATCCTTGACGATAAAATGTCCAAAGAAAATAATCTTGT